GAAGTCTGGGCCTCCCTACTTAGGCTGCTATCCCCGCCACCCGACCCCGGATAAGCGGAAGAAAATGAATGGATGGATATATATACTGTCTATTTTGGAGTTATAGACCCCCTGGTGGAAACTCCATGAGCCGCCACTGGCCTGCTACATGTTTTGGTCTGGAGAAAAAATAAATCATTCAGCAACATCACGCCCCCTGGCACGAACCCCACCATGGAGGCGCATCCCACAGTTTGAGAACTACTAAGTTAAACTGTTTTTCCCCCTGTTTGGGTTCCTGTGTGTTAAAGAGCAGGCTGAAGTCCAAAACTTTGACCTCAGTCACTGCAGAGAACGTTGTTTCATGTGGACCTTTGCGTGTCGTTTTAAAACCTGCTTATGGCGAAACCTCTGTCCACAGTCCTCACACAAAAATAGTTTCTGTTCTGTGTGGACTCTTATGTGACTCTTTAAATTACTCTTGCAACTAAATCTTTGTCCACAGTCCTCACATTTAAATGGTTTTTGACCAGTGTGGACTCTCATGTGACTCTTTAAATTACTCTTGCGACTAAATCTTTGTCCACAGTCCTCACATTTAAATGGTTTCTGACCAGTGTGGACTCTCGTGTGTGCATTTAAATTACTTTTATGACTAAACCTTTGTCCACAGTCTTCACATACAAAAGGATTCTCTCCAGTGTGGACTCTCATGTGGTTGTTTAAATAAGACTTCCAGATAAATTTTTGTCCACAGTCCTTACATACAAATGGCATTTCTCCTGTGTGGACTCTCCTGTGTCTAATTAAAGTTTTCATACTTCTAAATTTTTGTCCACAGTCCTCACATACAAACAGTTTCTGTCGAGTGTGGACTCTCATGTGTGCAATTAAATGGTGCTTATGGCTAAATCTATTTCCACAATCCTCACACACAAAAGGTTTCTGTCCTGTGTGGGTTCTCATGTGTTTTTTTAAATAGTCTTTTTCTTTCAATCTTTTTCCACAATGCTTACATTCAAAAGGTTTCTCTCCAGTGTGGATTCTCATGTGTCTGTTTACACTTGACTTATGACTAAAACTTTGTCCACAATCCTTACATTCAAATGGTTTTGCTCCTGTGTGGGTTCTCAAGTGTCTGTTTAAAGTTGCATTTCTGATAAATCTTTTACCACATTCATCACAAATAAATGATTTCAGTCTTGTCTGGATTGTCCCATGTGTCTCAACCTTTTTCTTCTGTTGGCCCCTTTCATTCTGACACAAACAGCTTGAATGTCCTTCTGTTGAATGACATGTCAAGTGTCTCTGAAGTGACCGGTTGTGCAGAAATTGTTTACCGCACTCAGAGCAGCTGAAACATTTGTTGACAGAGTTTACAGCTGACTCAGGAGCTCTGCTCTCCTTCCAGTCTTTGTCACTGTCTTCAGTTGTTGACCCAGTGTCTGACAAGTGTTCCAGCTGAGAGTCAGCATTGTTCCCATCCTCGTCCTCTTCATCATCCTCACTGACTTCAGTCTCTGAAGAGCTGGAAGCATCTCCATGAGGATTTAGATCTGAGTTCATGCTGGTTTCTGCTCCTCCACAGTCCTCTCCATCAGCTTCTACTTTCATCTGGTCAGCTGAGCTGCTGGTTGGAACATCTCTGTCCTCCATTTGGTGCTGATGAAGCTGTGAGAACAGAGGCTTCTCTTCATCATCCTCACTCTTCACATGAACTGCAGTAAATGAAAACCTGCTGACATCAGTCTCCTCCTTCACACTGAGCTGCTCTCCCTCCAATTGGGTCCAGAGTTCCTCCTCTTCCTTCTTTATGTGGAGGTGTTCTGGGTCCTGCTGGTTCACATCAGGCCTCCAATCCTCAGGAGCATCTGCTCTGATCAGCAGAGTCTGCTGAACATCTGCAGGGAACACTGAAACACAGACAATATGGACTGAATATAACTTTATATTCACTCATACATCACTTGTGTTGTTGATTAATGTTCTGTGGATCAGAACTGTTCCAAGTTAAAGAAACACCTTCTTAATACTTCTTGGACACAGGATGCTCTCCACTGCACACCTGTAGAAGGAGGTGAGGACTGAGCTTCCCAGTCCAGCTTGCCTCCTCAGGCGGCTGAGACGAGCTGATCTGGGAAGTTCAGTCCTCACCTCCTTTTACAGGTGTGCAGTGGAGAGCATCCTGAGCTCCAGCATCAACGTGTGGCATGAAGGCTGCACAGCTGCAGAAAGAAAAGCTTTGCAGAGAGTGGTGAAGGCTGCACAGAAGATGTTGGAGTCAGTCTCCCCACCATCACAGACATCTACACCTCTAGATGCAGGAAGAGGGCCACCTGCAACATGAAGGACCCCACACATCCAGCACACACACTTTTTACCTCGCTCCCCTCAGGCAGGAGGTTGAGGAGCATTAAGTGTAGAACCACTAGGCTGAGGAACAGCTTCTACCCTGAAGCTGTTACTTATAAATCCCTAACCAAGATAATCACTAAGAAAAAATAAAAACACGGTTTTGCATTGGCAAAACTAATGTTTTAGTCGGTGAATTTGTGGTTAGCGAAGCTACCTTTCTGATTAGCTGTGCCCACCCCTGCAAATGGGTACGAGCCTGTTTAACTTTAATATTAAATAAGGCTGCATTTCTAACTACAGTAGCAGCAGAGCTGAAGAAAACGGAGGATCAATCCTGTGATGTCATGAAACTAAGTTCATTATTTTAATGCCAACGTTTATTTTGAAGGGATGTCGGTTTAAAAACAGTTTAGCACATTTATTAAAGTTTGATCAAACCCCATTTTTAGCTTTAAAAGTATAATCTGCCACAGAAATTATGTTAAAGAGTTAGCCTTATTTCACAGCCACTGTGGCGCAATGAATTATGGGATATGTGAATGTCATGATGCTCTGACATAACTGGTTGTACCTGCAGCCTATGATGCGTAAAGGTCCAGGAGGAAGCGGCTCAAGATGGCAGCGTGAGAAGATCTAATTTGTTGAGCTCTCGGCACCAAAACACAATATAACCCTTTTGTTAGCAAGTTTAATGAAGTTAAACCAATAATTAGGCCTGCCTTGATCCAGTGTTACCTACAGCTGGAGCCTGAAGCCATTTGAGATGCCCAAGTTTGCTAGGAAGAGCGACATCAGCAGTGAAAAGGAAAACCATGCTAGCTTCTCGGCTAACGACTGCATGATAGATAGAAGCATGTATCCACCAAATGAAGAGGAATTCCCACTGCTGCCAGTCACCCCCAGTAATCCCCCTCCTCCTAAGAAACCTGCTCTGTTTTTTTTTTTTTTTAAATACCTTTATATTACCAGGAAGAAATCCATTGAGATTATTAATCTCTTTTACAAGGATGTCCTGGACAATATGCAAATACAGCAACACATCTTAAAAACAGTAACAGTAATATTAAAATATTTACAACACAACATCCATTAATAAAACATTAAATACAATGCAAGTTATATATATATATATATATATATATATATATATATATATATATATA